CAATAATGGTTGCACAACACACAGAGTGTAATCAATTCCACTAAATTTGAATTATCCAAGTTGTTGTATGTGGAGAATGTTTTGTTGTGTATATTTTTGCCACAATTTAAAAAAGGAATAAGAAAATGTTTCAAAATTGATTGTGGTAATGATTGTACAACTCTTCTTGATATGAATGAACTACTGAATTGTATGATTTGTGGATGAAGTGCCAATAAAATAGTTTAAAAAAACAAAGAACAGGATCTGGGATCTTAAAGGCTTGTCTTGAAATTAGCAGTCATCTAAATGAGGTGTTGGCTAAGTTCACATGGAAAAAGCACATCAGTGTATGTGTTCCAAGAATTGTAAATAATAAATACCAAACCTGGAAGAGGGTGTAGTCTTAGAGCTTAAATTCTAAATGCCTAGATAGTGAAAGGCCGAAACCCATTTTCTGGGTCTCTTATGCAGATTAATCCTCTGGTGAATCTTCTCTGGCTATGAACCAGAGATGGGAAAACCTTTATCAGATACCGTACATTGCAGAGTGGATTATTGTAGTTTTTGTTAGGTCAAAATGTCATTTGAACTCCTTTATGCTCCAATGTATAATTGTTGCATATTTAATATTTTCTCCTTTGTTTTTTATTTAGTTTTTTTCTGTTTAATTTTGTCATTGCTCTTGGACTGCTGTTTGTATTTTTGTTTGATTTTGTTTCCTTTTCTGTATACTAAACACAGGATAGGTACATCTATAGAGATAACAACTGGATTAATAATTTCAAAAGGCCATGGCGCAGGAGTTTAGTGGACAATGGATAGCTAACAATGAGTACAAGAAGAAGAAACATCCTGGAATTGATAGTGGTGATGGTTGCACAACTCTTAAGAATGTGATTGAGCTATTGAATGGTATGTCAGTGAAACTGTTAAAAATAAATAAATTAATGAACAAATATATGATAAAAGCAAAGCTATTCATATGTTCATGATATAGGTAGTTCATGATTTGATAAGTAAAATGAACAGGTTCTTAAATAATCTGTGCAAAAAGGAAAGATTCGATATTAACGAATACTGGTGAGCCTGTAGAGAGACTGGAAAACTGCTGGTGGGAGTATAAAATGATGCAAGGCCTATTGAAAGTGACATGGCACTTGATTTAAAAAAAAAGAAAATTAGTATCTCTGCACACCTTCATCTAGTTCACAATTAAAAAGTTTTAAAAAATTGAAACAAAAGGGACTTCTGGGAAGATGGCGGACCAGGGTACGCACTTACTCTGAGAGCTCTTTCCAACAAGGCGGGTTCGGTGTCCAGGTAGCCGAGTGGTAAGTGAGAGAGACAGTCCCCTGGGGCCAACAGCCGGCCCGCACCCCACACATTTGC